ATGGAGAATGACACAACATACATGGAGAGTGACACACGGGCATTAAAAAAAAACACAATAAAAAAGTGTTCTGTAAGTTAATGTAGGAATTTATCTTTTATTTGACACAACCTATTTTACACATTAAAAAAATATTAATTTAAAATCTAACAAAGTTCCTTAATCACTTACTGGTTAGATGGAAATATTGTAACATAAGGAACACTGACAACTTGCCTTTATGAGAATTATTTTAAGGAAAATAATAATAATTTAAAAAAAAATCTAATTATGCCCTTGCCAGAATATTATTTCTAAGCTGCATCTTAATTCTTAAGGCACACACACACACACACAAAAAACCCACCTGTGAGAGAGCACATAAACCCATAAATAGAAGGAAGTCTTTCTAAAGGGTCATACTGAGGACATAATGAATTTACTCTCACTCCTCCAATAAAATAACAATTTCTGCTGTAAAGAAACAGTACTCTAAACTAACATGTACTATGTCTATCTGCCGACAATTTTCCTAGCTTTTAAAGCCATTAATTCCAAACTACCTGTGTTTAAAAGCAAGCAGACAATGCAAATCCTTTAAAATTAATTACTAAAGGTCCTAGGATACAAGGCCTCGTTATCTTATGGCTTCCAGTGACCCTTTTACCAGTGCAAATTAAAAAAGGTAAGAATAATACTCATTAAAAAAAAAAAAAAAAAGAAAAATCTTACTCCCCTAGAAGAAACAGAAAAGAAATGGAACAAAAACTAAAAACGTGACACGAGTGGTCTGCCGGAAGTAGACAAACACACACATTCAGCCCATCCAGGGTCTCTAGCTTTTTTCTTTCTTTTTTTTCAGGATTAATACACTAATTACCACATTAAACGGTGTTTTCTCCAGGTTCTGCTTATTACTTTATGGAAAGATCCAGCCTTTGAGGATCCCAAAAGCATACACCTTCATTTGTTCCTGCCAGTCCTCGTTGTTAAAAGCTATTAAAAGATTTAACAGTTCTTAACAAAAAGATCTTGTCGAAGGGAAAAGAAACCCATAAAATCCTAATGCACTATTCCATTTAACACAATTCACTTTTCTGAGAATTCAAGCCTAATGTCACGTTTGTGTAGAAAAAATAACGAGATCAACAACTCCCGACGCTTCTTTAAGTCTTCTAAGCGCAATTCAAACCCAAAAACGCATTTTCCCCCCGAATATCAGGATGTGCTGCAGAGATGAGACAAACGCAACCTCTTGCAGAACGGCTCCTTTTCCCCGTCTTTGTACAATACGCGGCATCTTCTCACCTACAGCAGCCACACGCAAACGAGATGCTGTTTTTAAGAGGCATGCACAGGTTAGGTGTCAAGGTAAGAGGAATGTAATGAAATTAGCATTCGGATTATTTATATAAAAAATAAAGTAAGAAACTAATCCCTTGCATAATATCCATAAGCTGCAACATTACAAAACGCTTTCAGAGGCACGCGCACACCTTGAAATCCCAAATCCTCACCCAAGCCCTGTTATTGCTAGGTACTCCCCTACCGCCTCCAATTAGCTGGGAATTAATAATCTGAAAGAATAAATAAACCAATGCCCAGCAAAAGCACGCCATGGAACCGAACTGCAGGAGGGAGAAAAGAAGGAAGGTAAGGAGGGGAAAGGCGAGGGCCTGCCCTGGGCCCTGAAGGCGCCGGTGGCCGGCAGGGCCGGAGCTGGTGCTAGGGCCAGAGCTGGTGCTGGAGCCGGAGCGGGCGGAGGGGCTGCTCCCCCCGGCCGGGCGGCGCGGCTGCCCGGTGTTATTTGCGGCGGGGGTTCGTGTGACTGCGCCGCTCGGCACTTCTATTTACATCAGCGGCGCGAGGTGCCCAATGGCGAGCGGGGAGCCAATCAGATGGCAGATTAGATGTCAACTCGGAGGCAGCTGTCTAGAGACGGTGCAGCCAGTTTACCTCCACAATTCAAATTCCGAACCTGGCGGAGGAGACCCGGCCGCTCCTCGTTCAGCACCGGCCCTACAGCGGGAAGCGGCCTCCCGGAACGCCGGCTCCCCGCAACGCACCAGAAAAGCGCTGCGCAGCGGCCCGCCGGCCGCAATCATCGCGCCCATCTATCGATCCATCCACTCATCGATCGATCGGCGGAGTTACCGGGCGGGGGGTACACGGGGGTGCGTGTGGCTGTGGCGGCCAGCCCGGTGCCCGCGCCCCTTTTACCGACGCCAAGGACTTTTCCTTCTCTTTATTTTTCCTCGCTGCCCCCCCTCTCCCGTCCACCCTTCCCCCCCTCCTCCCGTTTGGATTTCCGCGTGTGTTCGGGGAGACAAACGTAGTTCTGCGCACCCACGCGCGCTAACGCTGGCGGGGCACGTCCCCCGTAAGGTCACCGGCCCCAGGCATCCCGCACCGCGCCGCGTGGACGGAGGCGCGGGCACACGCGCGCACACACGCGCGCGCGCGCTCTTCCCATCGGGAAGGGAAAAAAAAAAAAGAAAAAAAAAAAGAAGATCCCGGCCGCGCTGCGCGGATCTCACTGCGGTAACTCCGCCAGGGACAAACTACTTTGCTAAGGGCGCGCAATGGGTTCTGCTCGCACAAAAATAACACATTAAAAACAGAGACGGGGGAGGGGGGGAAGGAGGAAGAAAAAAAATAAAATACAGCAAAAGGCTCCGTGAACGATAATGGACGGTATCCCCCGGGCCCCGCGGCCCCTTGACCAAACCCGGCCCCGTCCCGAGCCGCTTGTCCCCGGGCCCCGCGTCCCACCGCTGCTGCCTGCGGAGCGGAGGGGCAAAAATACGAAGCGGGTCCGAGCGCAGCCTGGTTTCGGTAGCCAGAGCCGCGCTCCGCTACCCCTGGCCCCAACGGGGCCGCGCATTGTGCGCCGCTCTCCCTTGCTGCGGAGGCACCGAGAAGCAGAACTGGCCCGGAGGAAAAAGAAAAAAAGAAAAATAAAATAAAATAAAGATTTTTTTTTTTTAAGGAGAGGCGGTTAGGGGGGGAGGGGGAGAGGAAGAAAAAGTGAATTATAAAGAAACTGCGACCCCGACACGAGTGGCGCGGAGCCACCAGCGATGGGGAGCCGGGGTTACCTGGGTCCTGCTGATGGCCTGACCGGTGCTCCCGGGGCTCATCGCCGGGTGACTCCTTTGTTGCGCCGCTGCCCAGGCCGGGTTCGCCGCTCCGTACTGGGCGCCCATGTCCTTGCCCATGCCCATGCCCGCCGCTGCCTGCTGGCTTCCCGGGGCGGCCGCCGCTGCCTGGGGCTGGGGCTGCGGCGGCGGAGGAGCGCTGGGGCTACTGTAGTCGGTGTAGCTGCTGCCGTAGCTCCGCATCATGGGGCTGGGGGATGTGAGCAGCTGGTTCAAGGTAGGGGTGGCCCCGGACGGGTGCTGGTTCTGTCCGGAGAACCGCGCGAAGCCGCCGGCCGCCGCCGCCGCGCCGGCAGCAGCCTTGCCGAGGCCGGCTCCGCCGCCGGGGCCCATCATCATGCCGCCGCCCGGCTGCCGCGGGGAGCTCAGCACCCCGTAGCCCGCCGCGGAGCTCCCGTAGCCGCCGCCGCCTGCTCCGGCGCCCGCTGCCGCCACAGCTCCCGCGCCGCCGCCCGCGCCGCCGCCGGGGCCGCGGCCGTAGCCCGAGTAGTGGTTGTACTGGCTGTTGGGGTAACCTTCGTGGGAGTTTTGCAGGGGGTCCATGCTGTTGGGGGCCGCCGTGGGGTGCATTATCCCCATCCCGGGGCTTTGTTGTCCGCCATGTTGATCAAAGCAAGGCCCGGCGCGGCTCGCCGTAGCGCTGCTGGCAGGGGCAGGGGCAGCGTTGCCATAATAGCTATTGAACTCCGAGACACCCACCGCGGAGGGGCCGCCGCCGCCGCCTCCCCCGCTCCCGCCGCCGCCGAGGCCGCCGCCGCCGCTCCCAGCGCTCGGGGGCGGCTGCTGGGGCTGCTGCTGTCCGCCCAGGGGTCCCAAGCCGGGGTGATCGTAGCGGCCGCCGATGGGCTCGCCCATCTTGCCGGGCATCTCCTCCTCGTCGGCGCCTTTATTCAGTATTTGCTGCTGCTGCTGGGGGGGCTCGGCCTGAGCGCCCAAAACACTGTCTTTTCCTCCATGTTGCTGCTGCTCCATGTCTGCACTGGGCTGAGCAGCGCCGCCACCGCCACCGCCGTTGTTGTTGCTGCCGCTGCCGCCGCCGCCGCCGAGGCTGCTGTTGTTATTCTGCACGGGATGGTGCTGAGGCGGCGGCTGCTGCGGCGGCGGCGGCGGCGGGAATTGATTTAGCTGCTGCTGTAGTGCATGGTGGTGGTGGTGCGGGTGGTGGGCATGGTGGTGGTGGGCATGGTGATGCGGGTGGTGGGCATGGTGGTGGTGGTGGGGCGGCGCGGCGGGGTGATCGCCTCCGACGCTCTTCAGCTTGTGGTTGGGGAGCAGCCCCGTCTCCATAGCCGAGCCCGGGTTGGAGGAGGAGGAGGAGGAGGAGGAAGGAGACGAAGAAGATGAAGATAACGCCGAGGAGCTTCCACCTTCCTTCAGAGCCGGCTCTGAGGAGGAGCAGCCGCCACCGCCGCTGGCGTTGTTGTTGTTGTTACCGGCGGCAGCGGCGGGAGCCGCGTTATTGGCCATGTTCAGCGGCTCACTGTGGTGGTGGAGGAGATGGTGATCTAAATTATTCACGCTGCCGCCGGCCGGACTCCCTTCAACGACCCCCAGCGCGGGGCCCGGCCCAGGAGCGGCAGTAGCGACGACCCCGGCCACCCCCGAGCCCTGATCCGGGCCCAGGCCGCCCGACAGGCTTGGGGCTTTGCCCTTGTTGTTCGCACCAGCCGGAGCCGCTGCGACCTGCGCGGCCATGATCATCGCAACATTGCGAGTCCGGAGAAATTAGTGCTGATAATGCTAACTACTAAAAACTAACCAAAAACCAACCAAACAACAACAAAGAAAATATCGACCCTCACCCCCAGAAGGGGGGGGGGTGTGCGAGCAGAAGTGGGGGAGGGCGCGGAGAGGGGCAGAAAAAGAAGCGGCCGGGGCAGGGACTTGACTGAGCCAAGAGTATCCCCTGCGGACCGCTCCGCACGCACCGAGTTACAGAGATTTCCCTCCCCGAGTCCGTGGTTGAGATTAGAAATGGTAAGAACTCCTTACGGTCCGCGCCTGTTCCCGCTGTGTGATTTCATGTTGAAAGTTTTTTGTTCAGGTTTAAATGAAACTTTTTTTCCCCCTTCCCCCCCTTTCCCCCCTCCTTTCCTCCCTAACCCGGATATGGGTGAACACACGTCTGGCGGAGCCGCGCTGGCCCAGCATGGCATGAGCGAGCGAGCGAGCGAGCCAGCGCCGACAGACATCGCCCCCTCCACCCCGAGCGCGCCCGCGCACTCGCAAAACGCGGACTGGACTCTGCATGGCGCCGGCTCCCGCTCCGGGTCGCCGTCAGGAGCGCGGCGGGCTGCGGGCGGGCGAAGCGCGGCCCCGCAGCTGCCTCTGTCGGGGTCCCACTCGTGTGCGTGTCCAGCGGGCCCCGCGGAGGGGGCAGCCGGAGGCCCAGCTCGCGCGGGAATTGCTTGGAGGAGAAGGATCCCGGCGGGCCTCGGCATGTGGGGGCGAGCAGGAGCCAGGGGTGCCGGCGGCGGCGCTGCCTCGCGGGGCCGCTGCGGCGAGACAGAGACGACAAGACGCCCGCAAACGCGGTGCCCCGCGTCCAGGTGTGCTGGAGGAGGCGGAACCGCCAAACTTTTGGGCACCGCAAGTTACCCCCCAGCCCCATATGTCATGGGCAGAAGGCGCCTCGTTGTGCTCCGAGCGCAGGGAAACGTTTACTATCTCACGGGAAAATAATTTGGTGTTTTCTCTCCAGTTTGGTGTCGTCCCCCGCCCCCCTCGCCCCCCAGAAGATTTATAACCGTCTGCAAACGAAATATAAAATTTAACCTAAAATTCTGCAGCGGTAGCATCTTTGCAGTTGTCCATATTGTCCAGCTGTCTCCAAATTCTAACGGTCATTTTCGCTGATGATGCTTTTATATATCGGGCCGTTTTCAATATGTTCTGTGTACTTATTTGCAGATCAACAGAGACTGATCAAGGAGAGTGAGGCATTTTTGGTCCCATAATTGTTTCCTCAAACAATATAATTTCCAGTACACACAAGACACTCATGAAAACATAGTAACACAAAACCCAAAATACGTAATCCGTGTAACTCTTGCTCCAAATGGAAAGCTGCTGCTGCTGACCTACATTTTTTAGCCATCTTTCAGAATGGTTTGAAGGGGTTTTTAGAACTATCTTAATACAAATGATACCCTAGTAGAAGAAAAGGTAATAGTTGCACACTACCTTCAACTAATGAAAACATTTGGGAGATTAAATACTTGGCTATGAATATAGCAAACTGGAATATTAGCGAATGTTTTCAATATAGTAATGGTCTAAACCACACCATTTTAAATGAATATTCTTATGTGCTCTGTTAAGGCAAGCACATTTTCAAATTTCAAAATGGAAATTTAAATCTGAGATTCAGTAATAATGGTAGAAAAAGAACGCAGCCTACCAAGACAGATGCTGTCATGAGTAGGTAGGCTTTTTTGAATCCACTGTGAAGGCATTTAAGAGCACAAACTTCATGCTATAATGTTGCATTACGTGCAAAGATTATTGATAAATGTATGAACAGTGTGATTTCAGTGTCTATTAATTTTAGTTCTGTCTGAGAAGTCAGAAGTAGTCTGATTTCCATGATGGAGTTAGTTTTGAAAAGTCTCGGTTCTTGTCAAGTACATCTTGCTAATTCTTCTGTTACAATTGTATTTCTCTTTTTCTCTCTCTCTTTTTTTTTTTTTTTTTGGTACCATTTGCAAGTTCAAAAATGTTATATGGCTAGTAGAAAAACACAGAGCGGGGGAAAAAATGGTGAGTAATTCTACTGGGGGGAATCAGGTGCATACCCAAGGGTCATTACAGCCTGTAACAACAACAAATTGCAATTCTATGCAAACTGCTAGAAAGGGGTATATCATCATTGTAGGAAAGAGAATAACAGAACTGTAAGATGAATTCATGCCAAATCATTCATCAGCTTTTGCCAAGAGAATACTACATCTTTGTTAGTGAGCCTTTTTGACATTTTCTCCTGGATTTTCTTCCTTTCTATATTCAAATACACGCTAATTATACACATTAAGCCACGTAAGTTGATTTTTTGAAGTCTTTCATATGCAAATATAAATATAGATGTCTCCTGGAGTGTATTTATTTACATGTGTACTCTAAAATAAAATATAAAATCAATTACACATTTATACTACAAGACATTTATATTCAAGCAAAAAATATATATCTAAAATCTGGTAAGATGTGCTGATAGTGCCCTGGCTGCAGATGGAATACTTCCTGACATGCTCCGCAACTCCTTCTGATCAGGAAAATAGCCTGCAAAGTTTAACAAAGATTTACTTTGAAATGTTTTCCCTGGGAAAGAGGAAAAGAATGAAGCTTTAAAATGAAGAGTTTATACTACTAACTCCTTCCCATTTGTTTCAGCAACTCAGCTACAAGATTGGAACTAAGAGGCTATAAAATAGAGGCCCTCAGCACAATGAAATCAGTCTGCTATAAAAGGCGACACATGCCAGTTTTTCCTCCCCAATGGCAGATGCCACACCCTAAAGCAGACAGAAGGCACTGCAGTCTGTGCAAGGGAAGCACAACACAAAGCAACAACCATGGTTCAATTTTTTTAGATTGCAAATAATGTTGAGATTCCTTTTGCCATCTTTGCTCAGATGATGAGTGGTAGTGTTTGTTAAATTCAAATGCTCCTTTCCAAAAGCTCTCATTGTATGCATGAATTATGAATTTATTATAATATAATGTAAAAAAGCTCTAATTGCCATGCATATTATCTGCTTCAAAATGATTGCATTGATATTTGATATCGCAAGTGCATGGTTTCAACTTCAGTTCCATTTTCGTTGTTTCTTTGATTTAATTATTTTCTATAAACCAATGTTGTCCAAGCATGGCTTCTTTCTTTTGCCTTTTTCCTAGCAAATTATAAACTCTGGGACTCTGGGATCCCTTTCCAGGATAAGCAACATCATTTTCTAAACTTACTGTTGGCAATTTGTTTACTCCATTGGCTACAACATCAGAACAGACCCTGCAGGCCGCCCGTGGGTAGCTCAATCCCATGGTAGCGATGTGGCATTCCCAGCAATATGGCAGCTATCCTTCCATTTGGTTGGAGCAGTGCTCTTAAATCATACACAGAATAATGCTAAAGAGAGATACAGAAAGCAAACCAGTATGGCAAGAGCCCCAAGATGTTATTTTAGAGGTACTGGGAGAAATCTTTAATTTTTTTTGTGAGATAAAAATCCAGTCAGAGATTCAAGAGCCTGTTGCATCTGACTTGGGTAGCCACAAGAGTCTGAAAAATCCCTATGTACAAAAAAACACCCAACCCTTTTTGTTGTCACGCTTTACGTTTAAATTCAACTGTGCAGTTTGATGAAACAGTTGTCGAATTCACTGTAACTCTCAATCTCCTTCTTTTACACTGGCATTAGGTTTAATGAGGAAAAAAGGGAGAAGTATGTGAGCTTTTATTAAATTATCGCTTCTTTTACTAGTTAAACATCCAATCGAAATCAGTCTGAAGTCAGTGCAAATCTTTTAATTGATTTCAATAAGTCATAAATCAGATCACAGAAAAGTAAGCAGCCAGCTCAGAGCATTAGCTTTATGCTTTAGCTTGGTGTTTGGAGCTATAGTAACGGGATTTTGCTTTTAAGAGAACCCTTATGTGGTCAACATATAAATATAACATAGTAGTGTTTTCTTTATTACGTAATATTGACACTTCAGACACAAATGTAATATGCAAACTATTACAGTAGATATCCAGCTGATAAGCCAGGCTCTGTTAGCTGTAAAGCTTGGAGGTGAGCATAATAATTTTATTTTAGCTGGTCATAACTTCGAAAAAACACGTTTTACACCAACAGATCATGGCATAAAACATGTAGAGAGTGACACATTCTACCTTTTAATTAAAACCCATTCTTCAGCAGCCACTAATCCCTGGCAATTTAATGCATTCTTCTGGCAACGTGTAAACAAAAGGATTTCAAAACATCACATCTCTATCTCAAGAATGTCTTACACGATTTTATTATGGAAATGCAACATCAGCAATTTTTTTCCCTTGCTGGATGTAGACCACTTGAATAGAATGTTAAAATAACTCAATTTTAGAAATGTGAATCATCCAATGAAGTCAATAAGATCACTCACTTCCTTAAAGTTAAGCCCTGATTAAGTGCTTCTGTGGACTGAGGTCTCTAGGAAAAACAGCTCTTGAGTCTGTATTTGGTGAGATAGGAGCCCGACTGATTTTCTAAATCAAAACAAAATCTTCCATTTGGCAGTAATAGTAGGGGTTGTTGATTCCTGGGCTTACCCACCAGTGAAATCCAAGCTTTTAAACTGAATGATGCTAATATTTCTGGATCCTATGCCATTGTTTGAGAATATCATTGCATTTTGGGGCAATTTAGGAAAAGGCCAGCCTTCCTTTGCATTATTAATTTATGGTTCTGTCCATTTATAAACTACAAAACTTGAAAAGATTTGGTATAAGAATAGAGTTCTCTGACAATGTTTCTTTCCCATTCTTCTGCCTTTAACCAATCTCTTCTTTGCTGATGTGCAAGATACACGTGGGAAACCAAAAGAAATATTTGCTATTAGCTACATGTTGGTTGGAGGTCCTTTCTATCCTCAGAGTTGAAGAAACAGTCAAACTGACAATACACAGCTTTCACACTCATAAAATAAATTAGATCAGTACCCTAGCTGTAAAAACGCTGGGTCTTCCAAGAAAAAACAAACAAACAAAAGCCCTAGTTTTCTTCCCTAAACTTTTCCCACTGGATAGTTACACAATTTATGTATCACAATGCAAACATTACTTACAGCCCACAGTATTTATCAATTGCTGCTTCTGGAAACAGCAATTGATAAAGGTTCTGATTGATAAATTAGTTGTAAATTAAAATAAATTGATTACTGTGGCCTCCATGCCTTCACCAAGAAAAATAATTTGTCCATAGGACATTTTTATGTATAGCCAGAAATGCATGGATTTTAATAGGAGATGGCACAATTTCTTTCTTTTGCAAACTGAATTTCTTTTCCATGACTGTAGTGTATATGCAATTCTGAATATGTGCAAGGATGAAAAAAACATTATTTTGCCTAATGCACTCTATTTCTGACCCATTTCTGTAGTATTTGACCATTCACAATCTGTAATACAACAGTTCTGAGTCTTTTAGCCAGAGCCCCACCTTTCTCCTTTGCTGTAATAGTTTGTAATTCCCTCCTTTCCCCACCTTATCTTCATTCCCCACCCTTTTACACGTATATGCACGTTCGTTCTCTTGGCAACCTCAAATTCATGCAGCCCAACTTGCAGCTGCCTTAGCCTCCTGAAGCATAGTCATACTGTATCACTCATATATATCATTCACGTTGTTTCTTTCTCTCCAAACAAATCCTACCCTCCAATTTACAGCAAAGTTCACCCCAGTGCCAATTTCTTTCAGTCACTTTGTGTAGGGGACACAAAGTGCATGCTCTCAGGGAAGAGAGAGAACTGCAAAGGCTGGAAGAGGGTAAGGGAGGAAAGAGGTGGGAGAGGCCAGATGAAATTTTCCTGAGCCTTCTGCATCCCTACCTGGTACATGCTATGCCTTCCCAAAAAGGCAGCTTCCTAGTTTGAGAGCTGTTGCTTTGATACATTTACCCTTTAAGCACTCCTGTAAACTGAGAGGTCCAGTTAGTCCCACTTTGCCATCAAGGAAATGAGGCATAAAGGAGGAATGCCATGACTGCATGAACATTTCTTCCAGCTGCAACACCAACTCCAGTAGCTCCAGCAGCTCCAGGTGACTGCCATAAGCACCTGGCATGGACCTTGAGGGTGCTGATGCAACAGTCTATGCAGCTGCATGGTAACCCAAGGGAGAAAAAAGAAAACTTATTTTTATCCAGATCCTTGCACTGACTCACCCAACGGCCCAACCAGTAATACTGGCATAACAGGAAGGGGAAAGAGAAGGGGCAGAGTGCATGAAGCCGTTACCCGCTTCTTACTGTTTGACCAAAACAGTCTGGAAGCAGGGGGGAGATGAATAGGACCTGCTTAGCCAGCACTACTGCCAAAAGAAATGTATGTCCTAAGATTATAAACAGGCGCTCTCTTCCAAAGCCCAAATGAGCCAGTGAAAAAAGTTACCATCCTCATTTTTTGTCAGCATCACCCCTACCACATATTAATGCTTCTCACATCTGCTGGTGTGTGTTCCCCAACCCTTTTCAGATTAAATGAACCAGGTTACCAGACACTACTATTTAAACTATCTGCATTAGCTCAGACCCATTTGCCCAAATAAGATTAGGATAAAGTGAGCCAACAGATCTAAGGAGACAGCGGACTCCAGCAGAGGGACAATAAATATCTGGTAGGTGGCAGTAACCTCTTCTGATAAGCCCAACTTCTTACATACTGAGGGAGTCCATCCGTTTAGGTCCTAAACATTGGTCATGGTGATGTAGAGACAGTTATATGTCAGTGAAGAGAGTTTATCCACTTTTTGGGTGTCTGGCTTAATGTAGTAAAAGCACCAGGGTGTGGGGTTTAGCATCTTTTATTTATTTTACTATGACAGCATCATGGGGATGTACGGTTGTGAAGCATATGCTGAACTGTATGTATATCTCCAGAGTCTCAGGCTTCTTTACAGCTGCTGGTCTCATACAGTGGCTCACTGGATCTTCTAAATTGCAAAAGTGAGCTGGCAGTTCTTGCCTCAGTGTGTGAGGTGGCAATGCTCCTTGCACACGAGGCAGCTGAAATGTCTGCGATGTCTAGATTCACAGGGAGAAGTTAACTTGGATGAAGATGCTCCACACACCAGCTGGAGAGGGGCAGCCACAGCTTTGTTCCCAGAGAGCCAGTGCAGAAGGCCGCGCTCTGGAGTGGTGCAGTAGCTGTCAGTTAACCACATGGTCCCCATGGAGTCATTGAGCTTGCTCCTGTCCTCCGCAAACAGGTTGTCACCACCGACTGCAATTTGGGTACTTCACTTTCACATCCTCTCTGCCACAACACTTCTGATTGTCAAAGCCACAATCAAATCTTCCTTATGAAGGCAAAGTATTTATCAAGGAAAACATCCCCTGTGACTTGCTCCCTGCTTCAGCTAATCTAAGAGCTAAACTAACCTAAGAGAAGAGAGTTTAAACATCCTGGATGTGAACTACTTCAAAATACACAGCTCTAAAAAAATCTCTGGGTGTTACTAGCTGAGGACCTGATCCTGGAAATGCTTTGTAACATGTAGTCCTTGTTCCTCTTAAGCCATGAAACTTAGTGACAGACCTGAGCAGCTACCACGTGGTCGGTTTAAAACATCTGTTTCTTCTTAAATTTAAAAAGAAATTTTATTAAAATTAGAACAACCATTTTATTAATCCAAAATATAATCTAGTTATTTAACAAAGACTTAACAATGTGAGTCATCTGCATTAACAAATCCAGATGCTATAGTCAGAGGCAGCAAAGACTCAGAGACTGACAATAGGCTCGCTTTGTATGCTAATTAATCTATTGCTATTTGTTTTTCATTCCAAACAGACCACCCCTAATATTTTACCTCTCTTGGTGGATTTTAGGAAAATTGTAAGTGGACAGAAAAATGCCAGGTTCTCTCTCTTTTTAAAAAAGTAACATACAAATACTATTAAATTTTTCTAATCTTGATTTTGTGTTTTCAGTGGACTTCATACAAAAATTAACTGTGTGCATATCTTTTTGTCATGTTACAGCTGTTTTCTTCTCATCTAAAGGACTGGACAAACGTGATTTTCATTTAACCACATTTAAATTTAAATTGCTACACCATTTTGTGTTGGGTGTAAACTTCCTGTGCATATGTCCAAGAAGAAAGGA